CTGGCTGTACTTGATGTGGCTTCCTTGCTTGAGCAGATTAACACACCTCCTCCTTGTACCTGGTAGGCAGTGACTGACCAGGCAAATGGCCTTTTCTCCCTATCTGTCCATAAGGCCTATCAGAAGCAACTTGCCTTCAGCTGCTAAGGCCAGCAATGCATGTTCACTGTCCTACACCAGGAGTAATTTTAACACTCTAGCCTTGTGTCACTATTTAATTCTCAGGAAACTTGATTGCCTTCCTCTTCCACCAGCTTTCATGCTGGTCCATTACAATGATGACATTATGCTCACTGCACCGAGTAAGAGAGGCAGTAACTAACTACTCTGGATGTGTTGGTAAAGCATTTGGGTACGAAGAGGATGGGGAATGAATCCAGCTGAAGCTCCAAGACTTCTACCTCAGTGGAACCTCAGGGGTCCAGTGTGTGGGCCATACTGAGCTGTCCCTGCTAAGGTCAGTTGTTGCACATGGCCCCTTCTACAACCAAGGAAGATGCACCACTATTTGGCTTTTGGAGGCAGTGCATTCCTCACCTAGATGTGGTCAAGGTGCTCAGCACCTCCAACAGCTGCTAGTGTTCATGAGGGGCCTAGAATGAAAAGTTTCTTTTCTTTTTCTTTTTTTTTTGTCAATCATGGGGCCTGAACTCCAGGCCTGGGCGCTGTCCCTCAGCTCTTCAGCTCAAGGCGAGCACTCTACCACTTGAGCCACAGCGCCACTTCCAGCTTTTTCTGCTTATGTGGTGCTGAGGAATCGAATCCAGGGCCTCATGCTTGCAAGGCAAGCACTCTGCCACTGAGCCACCTTCCCAGCCCTGATTAGGGTCTTTGAAGGAGCATGATTGGAAAATTGGTGACAAAAGACATCTGGAGAAGTGGCAGCTGGGTAGATCTCTATAAACTGATAAGAGATGTGAAGATACTTCTGTCAGCAAAAGGTGACTTTAGCAGAGGACTGTAGGATGACATGTGGGTGGAGAGGAGTCGCCCTGTTTTGCCAGCTGTTCATCATTGCCCTATGGACTTGGAGCCTCCAATAGGGCATCATTTCCTGGAATGATCAGCCAGCTGACGGCAGGTTGGTTATACTGGGCCAATCTCATTGGAAGGGAGAGTACCCTGTCCTTACTGGAATAGACACTTATTCTTTTTTTTTTTTTTTCGGGTCCGGTTGTGGGGCCTGAACTCTGGGCCTGGGCGCTGTCCCTCAGCTCTTCAGCTCAAGGCTAGCGCTCTACCACTTGAGCCACAGCACCACTTCTGGCTTTTTTCTTTTTGCTTATATGGTGCTGAGGAATCGAACCCAGGGCCTCGAGCATGCAAGGCAAGCGCTCTACCACTGAGCCACCTTCCCAGCCCTAGACACTTATTCTTGTATAGACTTACCTTTCTAGCACATAATGTACCGGCTGAAACTGCCATTTGCTGTCTTACAGAATGCCTTACTCACCATCCTGGTATTCCACACAGCATTGCTTCTGACTAATGAACCCATTCACAGCCAAAGACGTGCAGCAATGGGCCTATGCTCGTGGAATTCACTGGATTTGCCATGCTCCCTACCTATCCTGAAACGGCTGGCTTAACAGGAGTGGTGGAATGACCTTCTGATGCTCTAACTGCAGGGCCAGCTAGTGCAGTATCTTGTGGGGTGGGACAAGGTTCTCCAGAAGGCTGGAGAACTGAATCATCATCCAATCTGTTGTATTCTTTCTCTTATAGACAGGATTCACAGGTCTAGAAATCAAGGGGTAAAATTACTTTGCTTCCAGTTCCTGAGATCTTATGATGTTCTGCCGACTTAGAAGATTTAGTTTCAGAGGAAGTAGTCATTTATGAGAGGATACAATGATGTTATTGAATTGGAAGTTAAGACTTCCTCTTAGCCATTTTGGGCTCTTCATGCCCCTGAGTCAACAAGCTAAGAAGGGAGTTATTGTTGGAGGAATGATGGATTCTTCCTGACTCCCAATGGATTACTACTTCACAGTGCAAGTGGGGAAGAGAAGGTCTGAAGCACAGGAGCTAATGTAGTAGGATGTCTCTTACTATTGCCACGCCCTGCTATTAAGACCCAGCTACAACAATCTAATTCAGGCTGTAGGAGAAATGAAGGAAGGAGTTAGTCATGGATATTTCTTTCTTATTTTTTTTGGGGGGTGAGGGTCTGGTCATGGGGCCTGTACTCTGGGCCTGGGCGCTGTCCCTCAGCTCTTCAGCTCAAGGCTTTACCACTTGAGCCACAGCACCACTTCCGGCTTTTTTCTTATGTGGTGCTGAGGAATTGAACCCAGGGCCTCAGGCATGCAAGGTAAGTACTCTACCACTGAGCCACCTTCCCAGCCCTTCTTTCCTATTTTTGTAAGAATATTTTTATGCATATATAAAGCAGATATCTATCTGGGCACTAGTGTAATTCTAGCTACTCAGGAGGCTCAGATCTGAGGATAGTGGTTCAAAGCCAGCAGGAAAGTGTGAGACTATCTCCAATCAACCACCAGAAAACAGGAAGTGGTGCTGTGGCTCAAACTTACAGGCAGGATAGTTATAACAGGCTAGTAAGGTAAGTGTGTGTGTGTGTATATATGTGTATGTGTGTGTGTGTGTGTGCGTGCGCGGGTCCTAGGACTTGAACTCAGAGCCTACGTGCTGTGCCTGAGCTTTTTCATTCAAGGCTGGTGCTGTACCACTTTCGACTTTTTGGTGGTTAATTGACGAGTCTCACAGATACTGCTCCCAGGCTGGCTTACTCTAGTGCTTTTCTTACCTGAATGTACAAAGGCTACAGGATGTAGATGGCAAATGCATTGTTACATCATTGTCACAGTTAGTGCTGTTATCTCTAGTTTAAAATGTTTTTTTGTCTATTCTTTTCTCTGTACTGGGGATCCAATCCAGGACACGGCACTTGCTAGGCTAGCGCTTTGCCGCTGAGCTGCATCCCAGCCCTCTACCTGTTTTACACCACACAAAATGCTTACGATTTAAACTCTCCCACTTTCTGAACTCACCAACCCTTTGGGCCACGTGGGCGAATCATTATGCTGCCTAGACTGGCCGGAACTCCTGGGCCAAGGGACCCTCCTGCCTGCTTCGCGTCCTCCACCGCTCCCTGCGGCTCGGGCTCAGACCTGTGACTTCCCAACAACGCGGGCTTCCCGCTTTCACTTAAGATAAAGCCCAGCCTTCGGGTACCTCCCCGGCAGCGCGGGAAGGTCCCCACCAGGCTTCCCCACGGGCCGAAGGTCTTCAGTATTCTGGGACCAGAGTGAGCAGTCCAGGCTGAGGCGGCCCCGCCCAGGCGAGAGGTCACAGGCCATGCGGGGAGGTCACGGCCCAGCCAGGAGGTCACAGCTCAGCCGGGAGGTCACAGCGCAGGCGGGGAGGTCACAGGCCGAGTGGGGAGGTCACAGCCCAGCTCGGAGGTCACAGCCCAGCCCGGAGGTCACAGCCCAGCCCGGAGGTCACAGCGCAGGCGGGGATGTCACAGGCCGAGTGGGGAGGTCACAGCCAGGCGGGGAGGCCACAGCCCAGCCCAGAGGTCACAGCGCAGGCGGGGAGGTCACAGCCCAGCCCAGAGGTCACAGCGCAGGCGGGGAGGTCACGGCCCAGCCCGGAGGTCACAGCGCAGGCCGGGAGGTCACAGCCAGGCGGGGTCACAGCCTAGGCGGGGAGGTCACAGCCCAGCCCGGAGGTCACAGCGCAGGTGGGGAGGTCACAGCCCAGGCGGGGAGGTCACGGCCCAGGGGGAGGTCACAGCCAGGCGGGGAGGTCACAGCCCAGGGGGAGGTCACAGCCAGGCGGGGTCACGGCCTGGGCGGGGAGGTCTCCGCCCAGGGGGAGGTCACAGCCAGGCGGGGTCACAGCCCAGGCGGGGAGGTCACAGCCCAGGGGGAGGTCAAAGCCAGGCGGGGTCACGGCCTGGGCGGGGAGGTCTCCGCCCAGGGGGAGGTCACAGCTAGGCAGGGTCACAGCCCAGGCGGGGAGGTCACAGCCCAGGGGGAGGTCACAGCCAGGCGGGGTCATGGCCTGGGCGGGGAGGTCTCCGCCCAGGGGGAGGTCACAGCCCGGCGGGGAGGTCACAGCCCAGGGGGAGGTCACAGTCAGGCGGGGTCACGGCCTGGGCGGGGAGGTCTCCGCCCAGGGGGAGGTCACAGCCAGGCGGGGTCACAGCCCGGGCGGGGAGGTCACAGCCAGGCGGGGTCACAGCCCGGGCGGGGAGGTCACAGCCAGGCGGGGAGGTCACAGCCCAGCCCGGAGGTCACAGAGCAGGTGGGGAGGTCACAGCCCAGCCCAGAGGTCACAGCGCAGGCGGGGAGGTCACAGCCAGGCGGGGTCACAGCCTAGGCGGGGAGGTCACAGCCCAGCCCGGAGGTCACAGCCCAGGCGGGGAGGTCACGGCCCAGGGGGAGGTCACAGCCAGGCGGGGAGGTCACAGCCCAGGGGGAGGTCACAGCCGGGGTGGGGAGGTCACAGCTCAGGCAGGGAGGTCACAGCCAGGCGGGGTCACAGCCCGGGCGGGGAGGTCACAGCCCGGGCGGGGAGGTCACAGCCCGGGAGGGGAGGTCACGGCCCAGCTGGGGTCGCGGCCCGGGTGGGGCGGCCCCGCCCAGGCGTGGTACCCGCCCACCCCGACCCTGGACCGGACGGCGCTCGCCTCGGGCTTCCGGCGCGCGGACGCGGGAGGGCTCTGGGTCGGGGTCTTCGGCAGCAGGGCCTGCGCCGCTGAGGACGGCGTCGGGAGCCCCCGGTGGCTCCCTCCCACGGGTTCTCCTCGGCCGCGGCGCTCCGAATGCCCGCCAGCCCCGCCCCGCCGCGCCCCCCCGCACCTGGGCAGCGCCCCGGGGAGGAGCCCGCGGGGGGCGCGCCGAGCCGCGCCGGCCAGGTGAGCGCGCGTGCGCAGTCGGTCCGTAAACAAGCCCGCCCCTTTCCCCTCGGCCCGCCTTCGGGGGGCCGGCTCGCGGGGGGGCGGGGCCGGGAGGAAGAGGCGGGGGCAGAGCCAGCGCCAGCCACGGCGCCTGCGCGGTGGGCGTGATCCGGGCACTTAGGGCAGGATGAACGCTGCTTTCCAAGATGGCGACGGAGGGAGGAGGGAAGGAGATGAACGAGATTAAGACCCAATTCACCACCCGGGAAGGTCTGTACAAGCTGCTACCGCACTCGGAGTACAGCCGGCCCAACCGGGTGCCCTTCAACTCGCAGGGATCCAACCCTGTCCGCGTCTCCTTCGTAAACCTCAACGACCAGTCTGGCAACGGAGACCGCCTCTGCTTCAATGTGGGCCGGGAGCTCTACTTCTATATCTACAAGGGGGTCCGCAAGGTACCGACCCGGCGTCCCCGGGGCCCGCCGGCGGCGCGGGCAGAGGCTGGGAGCAGGGCGGTGGCCGCGGGGCCCGGCGAGGCGTGGGCCGGGACGGCGGCCGGGCGGCCCGCGGAGGGCCCCGGGGCGCGGCGGCGGGGCGGCGGCGTGCCGCGCCGGGGGTCCCGGGCCGGCGCCGGGGAGTGCGGGGCCGCGGCCGCCTCCCTGCCGGCCGGCCGGGCCCCGGCGCCGGCCCGGGCCTGCGCGTCCCCGGAAGAGGTGGGGTGGCCGCCTCGCCGGCTCCGGTCGCCGCGGGTCCCCGGGAGGGCCGAGCGTCTCGCCCGGGGTCCGGGAACCGGGCGCCAGGCCGTCGGGAGTGGTGTGCGAGGCGGACCCGGGGCCGGGGAGGCGGAGGACTGGGACGAGGTCACGGAAGGACCCGCCGGGCTCGGAGCCTTGCGCCGCTGCCGGCCCCGCGCGCCGGGCGGCTGCCGGCGCCTCGGCCCCGGGGGGACCTTCCGGGGAGCCTGCCGGGGCTCGGGGATCACCCGGTCCCCGGGGTGCGGGCGGCCGGAAGGTCGGCTTCCGAGGGCTTGTGTGCGCGCGTGCCCGGATGAATCCTGTCCAGCAAGTTCAGGCTGCGTCCCGGCCGGGAGGGCCGGGCCCGCCGCGGTGGGGAGCCGGCCTCCTCTCCTCGGCGGGCAACTTAGCAGGGATTCCGCGAAGCAGCAGCAGCTACAGCTGCTCCCCTTGGCGGTGGAGCTGGGTTCTGGGACCGGCTTACTTTGGACGTGGTGTCCCCCCCCCCCCCGCACTGCCCCCGGGAAGGGGTCCGCAGATCCAGACCCCGGGTGGACCCCGGCGTGAAGATGCAGCCAGCTCGTTTCCTTCCGATCAGTGTTTGTTCTCGTCAGGCGCCGACCGCGGCCGTTCGTGGTCTGCCTGCCGGCAGGCGTTTCCCCGAAGAGGTGGCCTGATGTCTCCTCTTCGGGGATGGAGGAACGGAAGCAGTCAGTACGGGAGCTGAAGTTTTTGTGCCACTCCCAACTTCATTACCGGCTGACTTGTTGGGTGACCTTGGGAGTTTTTAAGCATTCATTTGTATTTTTTCTTAATTTAGAAAGGGATTATTGTACTGCACTGTTGCAGTGCGTTGTAATTGGTAATATACAGTAAAAAAGGAACTCTAAAGCGAGGAACCACTCAGTAGATGTAAAATGTAGTGGAAATCCCTCAAGAGTAGCTGTCAGGAAAGAAGCTACCATCTCGATACTCATGCTCTGAATGCAAACATCAATTCCCCCCTGTGGAAATGAGTTTAGAATGATACACTATTAAAATTTATGTTTAGAATCAGGTGTGGCCGTTCAAGCCTGGAATCCCAACACGTGGGAGGCAGAAGCCGTCGATTGCGAGTTTGAGGCCAGCCTGGGCCACATAGCAAGACACTATGTCAGTAAAAACCTAAAAGCACCCCTCCCCACCCCCAGCGATGGGAATCAGATCCAGCAAGTACTCCACCACGGAACTACACACCTCTTCATTTAAAAAGTAGTTTCCTGGCCAACATCATCTGGGTCTGGTAGTCCTTATTTGCATAGTAAAAACAGGTCATTTGTGCTAGGCACAGGTGGCTCACAGCTGTAATTCTAGCTACTCTGGAGGTTGAGATCTGAGGATCAAAGCCAGCCCAGGCAGAAAAGTCGGTGAGACCCTTATCTCCAATTGCCACCGAAAAAGACGGAAGTGGAGCTGTAGCTCAAATGATAGGATGCTAATTTTGAGCAAAAAAGCACCGGGATAGCATCTAGGCTCTGACTTCAAGCCCCAGGACCATACATAATAAATAAATAAAACTCCAGTGGGTCATTTGGTTGGAAGTATCTTTGCAGTGTTCTCTTTCATTGGGACACTAGGGACACTATTCACTGAAAGGTAAGATTAAGAGAGCATTTCAGAGGCTTGGTGCTGGTGGCTCACACCTGTAATCCTAGCTGTTCAGGAGACTGTGATCTGAGGATCAAGGTTCAGAGCCAGCTCAGGCAGAAAAATCTGTGAGATGCTTATCTCCAATTATCCACCAGAAAACCAGAAGTGGTGCTGTGGTTCAAAGCTAGAAAAGAGCTCAGGGATAGCTCCCAGGCCCTGAGTTCAAGCCCATGACCGACCAAAAATAAAAAAAAAAAAAGTCTGTTGAAGACAAATCTAAAATACAAAAGTTTCTTTTGCCTGCATAATTTGAATGCTTTTTGTGTTGTTGTTGATTGTAGGGCTTGAACTCAGGGCCTGGGCACTGTCCCCAAGCTCTTCAGCTCAAGGTGAGCATTCTACCACTTTGAGCCACAGCGCCACTTCTGGTTTTCTGGTTGTTATTTGGAGATAAGAGTCTCATGGGCTCTCCTGCCCAGGCTGGGTTTGAACTGGTATCCTAATACCTCAGCCACCTGAGTAGCTAGGATTATGAGCCACTGGTGTCCAGCTTATACTATACTTCTAAAAGATGTTTAAGAAGTGGAAACCATTTAATTTGGGGCTCAAAAGTAACGGGTATTTAAAAAAAAATTAAAGATTTTTTTTTATTTTTTTTTGGGTCCGGTCATGGGGCCTGAACTCTGGGCCTAGGCGCCGTCCCTCAGCTCTTCAGCTCAAGGCTAGCGCTCTACCGCTTGAGCCACAGTGCCACTTCCGGCTTTTTTTCTTTTTGCTTATGTGGTGCTGAGGAATCGAACCCAGGGCCTCAGGCATGCAAGGCAAGCGCTCTGCCACTGAGCCACCTTCCCAGCCCCACAATATCACAATTTTTTTTTTTTTTGTCGGTCGTGGGGCTTGAACTCTGGGCCTGGGCGCTGTCCCTCAGCTCTTCAGCTCAAGGCTAGCGCTCTACCACTTGAGCTACAGCGCCACTTCCGGTTTTCTGGTGGTTTATTGGAGATAGGAGTCTCACAGTCTCTCCTCCCCGGGCTGGCTTTGAACCGCGATCCTCAGATCTCAGCCTCCTGAGTAGCTAGGATTACAGGCGTGAGCCACCAGCGCCCGGCACAACATCACAATTTTAAGAAAGCTAAATTTAATGCTTAGAAAAGTATCTTTAAGGGGCTGGGAAGGTGGCTCAGTGGTAGAGCGCTTGCCTTGAATGCCTGAGGCCCTGGGTTCAATTCCTCAGCACCATATAAGCAAAAAGAAAAAAGCCAAAAGTGGCGCTGTGGCTCAAGTGGTAGAGCGCTAGCCTTGAGCTGAAGAGCTGAGGGACAGCGCTCAGGCCCCAGGACCGGACCCCACCAAAAAAATTGTGATATTGTAGTGGGGCGCTGGTGGTTCATACCTATAATCCTAGGTACTCAGAAGGCTCAGATCTGAGGATCACAGTTCAAAGCCAGCCCGGGCAGGAAAGTCCATGAGACTCCTATCTACAGTAAGCGGCGCTGTGGCTCAAGTGGTACAGTGCTAGCCTTGAGCTGAAGAGCTGAGGGACAGTGTCCAGGCCCAGAATTCAAGCCCTACGACTGACTAAAAAAAAATTTTTTTTTTATGTTATGGTATATGTCTGTAATCCTAGCATTTGGGAGGTGGCGGTAGGAGGATTTAGAGTTTGAGGACAGCTTGAATTACTTTAGTGGGTTCAAAGGGTTTTTATAGTGAGATCTTGTGTCCAAAAAATGAAAGGATGACGGAGTAGCTCAGAGGTAGTCCTAGCAGAAGTCTGGGTTCCATCCCCAGGACTAAACAACAAAGAAATCAGTTGAGAAATGGTGTAGCAGAAGATAATAAAGTAATGGAGAAAAAACATGTTACAGATTTCTTTTTGTGTACTTGTGTCAAACCACATTATTTACAAGATCCATGTACTAGCAAACAACTTTTTTCCCTCCTCTGTGGTTACTAGGGTTTGAACCTCAGGCCTTTGAGCTTGCTAGGCAGGTTTGTTTTTTTTTTTGTCGGTCGTGGGGCTTGAACTCTGGGCTTGGGTGCTGTCCCTCAGCTCTTCAGCTCAAGGCGAGCGCTCTACCACTTGAGCTACAGCGCCACTTCCGGTTTTCTGGTGGTTTATTGGAGATAGGAGTCTCACGGTCTCTCCTGCCCGGGCTGGCTTTGAACCGCGATCCTCAGATCTCAGCCTCCTGAGTAGCTAGGATTATAGGCGTGAGCCACCAGCGCCCGGCTAGCTAGGCAGGTTTTTCTGTTTTGTTTTTGCCTGGGCTGGCTTGGACCTCAGTTGTCCTATTTATATTTCCCTCATTGCTGGGATTACAGGTGTGCACCACCATGACTATAGTCAGAATAACTTAATGTTCTCAACATTCAAGCCAAAGGGCCTTACTGCACTCCATTTAAGATTCCAAACCACGAATATATTGCTCAGACATGTTATTTAAATAATTCTTCCTGTAGGTGGAAAGTATGTTTAGATGGTTCTAAGACCTTATCAACTCCAAAGGTTATGTGGTTCTGAGCTATATATCTATCTATATATCTAGATATAGATATATAGATATCTTAATATATATATTTTTATTATTATTTTTTATTTTTATTTTTGGACCGGTCATGGGGCCTGAACTCTGGGCCTGGGTGCTGTCCTTCAGCTCTTCAGCTCAAGGCTAGCACTCTACCACTGGAGCCACAGTGCCACTTCTAGATTTTTCTGTTTATGTGGTGCTGAGGAATTGAACCCAGGGCCTCATGCATGCAAGGCAAGCACTCTACCGCTGAGCCACCTTCCTGGCCCCTGAGCTCAATATTTTTTAAGAAGTTAAATTCATCTTTTTGTTGGGGGAATGTCTTAATGTTTTGGGTTTATCACTTAATTTGAGTTGGACGGGGTCAAGTGTTACAGAAAGCAAATTGAAGTGCTGTGATTTTCTAAGTCTTTATGTAGAAAAGCTTTATATTTACCATGTTGAGATCAAACTGGTCAGAAGAGGAATCAATGGATAACATTTAAGATAAATTTAGAGCCCAGGTTTTAAAAATGTTAGATGATAGGTTTTCTTGGAAGAGAGTGAGCATTTTTGTTTTGAGAA